TGATAGTGGGTTTAGATGCTCTCTTTTTAAATACCAAGCGCTAGCTAAACTCACAAGAGCTAAAGCTCTGATTGTTTAGCCAGGAAAGGGGAAGAATTGTGTGGATTTGATAGTGGCACAGTTTTAAAGAAAAAGAAGTGCATTGAAAACAGATCAGTCTATGGTGATTTTTTTATTATGTCTTATAATATTAGAAAGAAATTAATAGCAAATATTTTAGGAACAGTAAATACTTCTCTACAAAGTATATAGTCTGGTACTGTTGCAGACAAGTATCAGAGCTGAACTGAAAAAGGGGGTTGATTTTTTCAAAGAAGCTATGGAAGCAAAGATAATTAAATCTCATTTTTTGGAATATAGCCCATATATTTAACAGGTGTAAAATGACATTGTTCTATTGACGTCAATGAAGCCAGGTTGGCTTTCACCAGCTGTAGGTGCAATCCCATAATGTGATAATCTACAGAACTGAAAAGCCTTCTTCTCTAAGGGACTGGGCCATAGGCAGTCTAATTGAACAGTCCCAGCTAGACTGGTATCCACATGTCAAGGAGGGCCACAAGATGGTAATCCGTGAGCAGGAGTTGAGGAATCACTACAGCCAGATTTAAGGAAGATTCAGAGTCACAATCAGGCTGGTTTTGGAGATCAGAGGTAGTACCAGGCTGGAATCAGAAAGCAAGAGTCAGGCTCAGGAAAGGATCGGAGACCAAAGATCCAAAAGCAAGGTGCCATCTGGAGTTGCAGCAGTCCAGAAGTCTGTGTAGTGCCCAGACCACTTCTTGGGGCACCATCTAGGGTTAAATAATGCTCTTGACCAATCAGAGGGCTGCAGTAGTTTTCAACCCGTGGCCCAATCAGCACACAGCTGCACGCCATATGACAACTTCAGAGCCATACCGCCCACATAACACAGAGAGAGCTGCATATGTGGCCCTCAGTGGAAAACAGGTTGAGGATACTGAGGCAGTACTTCCCACAGTGCCCAATCTCCATGTACCCTGCCCTCCCAGTGACATTGTGGGAATGCCAGCCATCCCAGGCTCCACACACCAGGGTTCTAGTCCCATGGATCCTTCCATCCTTTCAAAGTCCCCCAACCCTCTTCATTTACAGTGTTGCCTGACCTATTAGTTGTACCTTCCTTTACACTATCAAATTTTGGTCAGAAAGATGGACTCGATGGAACTCTGAGCCTTTATTTTAGCTCTCAATAAGTTTCTCTGTTCCTACTATACTTTAGACCCAGATAAATCCATGAAAATCCTTCTAGATTGAGGCTCTAAGCTTCCTTAAGCCTTAGTGTTTTTTACAGTATGTGTTTCTATGTAATTGTCTTTTAGCCTCTTAGTGATGATCTCTAGATGTCAATCCCCCAGCGGGTGAATCTGTTCCTGAGTCTTAATTTTAACCACTTGTTTTGATCAGAGCAACTGTTGGGGATAATATATCACTTCGCAAATGCCCGAGACATCATCTTAGTCCTTGCCATGCTCCATGTTTTTGACAGTACTCAGGCATGAGGATGTCGTGAAGAAGCTAATGGTATTTTGTCTGTCTGCATTTCTCCCAGAGGAGCTGCATATTGCACAGATTCCGTTAGTAAGCTTGCACCATGAATATGCCTACACAAAAGATGTGCCAATAGTTCAACAGCTTTATTCCAGAAAATGATGACAAATAGCTATTTCAGATGTCAGCTCTAAGGCTTGCAAAATATAACTAAACACATGCATAAGATCAGCACATAAATGAGCACAGGAAAACAGCTTTGTAAATATTTATGTACTCAGGGCTCTCAGTTTCACGCTTGCTTCCTCTACCGCCTCTTTTTAAATTTCCACTTGTGTTAGTTTATGGCTCGAAGTGTTCTTGGTTGTGTGCCTGACATTGTTTAATTGCCTTCTGCTTCGTCTGGTATCATACATACCATAACCCTAAATCTTCATGGACTGCAGTTAGCTTAAGAACTGGAGACAAATATCTATTAGAATACACAGGCAAATTCTAATCTTAGATACAACCCTAGGAAATCTGGTATAGCTCCGCTGACATCAGTTGTTATTCAATTTTGGGGCCCCCGCCCATTCATGACATTGCACAGATGCAAAGAAAGAGACAGCTCTAGCCTTGAGAAACTTATAGGCTAGAGCCCTAGTAATGCATGGGCAAACTGCTCTGCCCCCACACAGCCCTGCTGAAGGCAGTGCAAGTTCAACAGCCTGTATGCATGCTATAATGGCAGGATCAGGACCTAAGAAGCCTGATATTATTACTTTATATTCATGTCTATAACACTAGTGCCTAAAGACCAACCAGGAATAGGGCCCCAGCCTAGAGAGTTTACAGTCTTAACAGACCAGACACACACACAGGGTGGGGGCGAGGAGTAGAATATATTAGCAAAGTGAACGGTGTGATGGCTGCAAATATCATATTAGTTTCTTGGTTTTTTTTTATAGGTAGGTTTAGTTAGGAGCGGATCAGATAAATGAAAAGGGAAGAGAACGGGAAGTGAAGGAGACAGGGCATAGAGGAAAGAAGATAGAAGGGGCAGGCATGGAGTGAAGCTAAGATGAGACTGTCGCCAGGGGAGGAGAGAGGGTTGGGGCAGCCTGCAATCAGCGTATCAGGAAATCCAGTCAAAACTGTAGCAAGCTGTCGGAATGTCAGGAGATCTCTCTTTTGGTTGCTTCTGCAGCAGCTCTGGCAGTTTTTCCCCAAGGCCACGTGGTGGTGGAAAAGAGGTGTGGGGGAGGCACCATTGGGTCCTAGTGACCCAGAGCTGTGGATGGTATTCTTCCATATACAGTTCTTTTTCTGAGGAAGAGATGGCTGCAGCTGGTCCCCGTTTTACCCCGTCCCCCAGTGTAGCAGTCCTGTTGCCGTGGGCCTACTTTGAGAAAGCTGCTAATGGGCTGCTCCGGGTCGTTTACTTACTGGCTCCGCAGCCATGGACCCTTGCGGCTTCCATTGGCTGTGGTTCACCAGCGGTCCACTTTGACACACACTGGGATAGAGGCATACAGCTGGATATGAACCACTTACATAGCTATTAAAAAGTTTTAAAAGGTATTGTAAATACTTGCATACTAACCATGTCTATCCCTTAAGCCAACATTGAAGTTACTATTGCTCCTCTATAATCACACCAGAATCTGGCCTCTTCAGCTTCTATTAGATTTTGCTGCCACTGTAACTTTGGAAGGATGTCCCCATGCCAACAGATTTAACACCAAAATGGAAAACTAAAAATAAACCTACTGGTTATTTTCAAGTGTTCAAAGCACTTGTCTGTTCGGAGTCCTGGACTCTTGAAATCTTTGACTGCCATGTTCACTATCTCATGCTTATTTTTTTGCTTCACTCTACTCTAGGGGTTCTCAATTCCTTCTGGTCAGAAAAAAAGATCAAAGAAATCATCCTGCAATCTAACCTATCCCCACAGCAGGCCAGCAGCCATTGCAGGCCCCAGCCCTTGGCTATATTTACTGAAGGCTGCATTTTCAGTATAATTTATCTCCCTTTCATATGGATTGTCTGTGCATTTCCTGTACATCCAACTTGTTCAAATCATGTAATTTGTTATCAGGTTATTTTTAATTTCCCTGGACGCTGTGTCTCTTCTCATCTACACTAGTGTAAATCAGGAATGAATCTGCTGAAATCAATGGAATCTCATAGGTGTAAGGACAGGCTATGCGAAAGGAGAATCTCATCCACCATTTTGAAAACTGTATTGAATTGTAAAAGAGGACATATCTCTTAATAGGGATTTTATAGTTAGTGCCAGGGCCGGCCCACAACATTTTGGTACCTGAGGTGGAGAGCTCAAATGACGCCCCTATGCCCCCTTGCTTGGGCCAAAACTTTGAAAGGTCTCTTGTGCCCTCCTTCCTCCAGCACAGCACTCCACCATCTCTGTGCATCTAGAGCAGAGAGAATACAAATGCACCAGCAGGAGACACAATTTTCTGGATCTTAGTGGCACGCCCTCACAGTCTGGCACCTCAGGCGGCCGCCTCAGTTCACCTCATGGTAGGGCCAGCCCTGGTCAGTGCTTCTCCCAATGATTATACTTAGAACTTTTAAGAGTTCATTATTGGTGTAATGGAGAAAATGGATTATTCCTATTGATCAAATGTGACACTAATCCTTGCTGAATCATAACTAGTTTGGGCCTTAATCTTCAATGCACGTGATTAATAAAGATACGATCTGCAATTTTAGAAATGCAGAATGATTGCCATACAATACTGACATTTCTATAGTATACTAAAAGTAGTTAGTGATACCATTGCATTACATATAGTATGCCAGGAGTGACACCAGTGAAGTTAATGGATCATTGGCCTTGTGCAAAACTCGGGTTAGTGGGAGCATATGTGAGAGAGCAAATACATCCTCCATCCTCTCGAAGCTTTCTCCAGACAGTGCCCGGCCCGGTGACAAGCAGCTTCCTGGAACGCATTCTCTTCCAATTGTTTTATGAGTGGGGTGCTCTTCGGGCATTTGTCAAAATCAGCACATTCTGTTTTTGTCATAAAGTTCTCATACATTTCCCTCCTATGGATTTGCCTTCAATGAGGAACTTTGAGTTGGGCTCCATGTTGAAACTTCTGTTTAAAAATGAAATTGGCTTGGTGGTATTGAGACTGAACCTCTCTCTCTCTCTCTCTCTCTCTCTCTCTCTCTCTCTCTGAACACGAAGTACAGTAAATGTGATTGTATTATCCAACAGCACTATATGAGATAATCCCATCCCCTGTCACTTTCTAAGAGGATAATGTAAAAGGCATTCCACAGAGACAGAGAATAATAATTTGTTAATTCCCCTCAGTATTTCATGCTTCTCAGGAGTGCAGCTAATTTTCCCTGAGTACTTTATTAAAATTCACAATGATTTTGCAACTCCACCCTAATAGCTCTGCACCGAGGCAGGGACTGTGAAGGTGAGAGCTGACAGAGTGACACTATATTTTTCTTCCTCTTCTCCACAGTTTGTATTATTCCGGCTTTCATCCCTTGAGGGCTGTCCAGATGATGAGAGTGGGCAAATTGCAGCATAGTCAAGACATGTTTCCTCAAGCACTGGAGACCTTGAAGCAGGTCAGTGTTGCCTATTGTGTTCCTCTCCTCCCGTATTCTCCATGAATCCTCCACGTATTCCTCCCCTTTCATGTCTGATTGCACCTTGCTCTTCTGAATACCATTCCCCAGTCTTTCTCTCAGTGCCAACTCCCCAGGCAATAATTGCAAAGCGTGGTGATGGGTCATTGTTGCTTATAATGTTTCAAGTGCAGGATTCCTTTAATATCAGTCATTTTTAATTACTAGTCAGTAGCGTGAAGGTACCATTAATCACCCCCTAACCTTGAATGGAAAACAGCTATTAAATAGGAGAAGAGTAAAAATATTTCAATGCATTATACTGTTCTTCCCCCTTCTTATTATATCTAATTATGCCCTCAGTTGTTTCTTGCCAGTGTGGGTGTGCAGGGTAAAAAAGAAGAAGAAACAGGAATTGTTAAATGGCCACATGCACTCCTTGCCAGTGTGGGTGTGCAGGGTAAAAAAGAAGGAGAAACAGGAATTGTTAAATAGCCACATGCACTCCTCCTCCTCCTAAAGGGAAGGAAAAGTGGATATAATTCCAAAAGGAACTGTGGAAGGAAGATAACAAGAGATACACTGCATTGCCCAAATTGTGCTTCCACAGACCTCTCTCCTCTATTTGCCCAGGTTCCGGGCTTGCGGTGTTGAGAAAGGAGCTCAATTTGGTTTAACACTTGAATTTTTTTATGAGTTACACTTCAAATAAACACGCAGCTTCTGTTAATCCTCGCTGTTTTTCATCATTCCAGTAGGCTCCCTCACTTGGATCTGTTTGGGCAGGCAGGGGCAGATGACCGTTTTGCGGGGCCCTGGGCAGCATAACTCCGCGGGGCCCCCCCTTTGCCACGGCGCATGCACGGGGCTTTTTTAAGCGCGGGGCCCGGGGCGGCCGCCCCGTTCACCCTGCCCTATATCCACCCTTGTGAGCAGGTGCTTCCTATTGAGTTATATTCTAGGTTTTTAAGACATCTCTGTTGTGCCTGCACTGAGTTTATATTTACTTCCTTCCAGCTCAGGCTCTGATCTGCCCTGTTGTTATATTACCATTATTACCATTTAAAAAAAATAGAGAGACAGCATAGACGCAGGCGATTTGTATCTCTGCTCCACAGCAGCTTTTGGACCCTTTAGACTATAAGTCATTTCCCATCCAATCCTCCAGTCTCTACTGCGTCATTTCTCCTGGGAAGACTTTCTACCCCTGCACCTCCTCATGGTGGCCTCCGGGTTACTACTTTGTATTATTGATGTTGCCTTTTTCAGAGTCAGGCCCGAAGGAGCTACAGACAGTAAGGTCCTACCCCAGTCTCTTCCCCCATCTTTGGAGTCTGACATCCTCTGCTTTCTTCCTCTGCTCATTGCCTCAGAAAGCCATCTGCTCCATCCTCTTGTCTTTTTGCTGCTAGGCTAGACTAAGTCTCAGCACTGACGCCAGACAAGGCTTTCTGTTCACATCATAAAACACAAACGCTGCACAGTGCCTAACTGGTATGCTTTGCTACAAGGCAAGCTGAAGCAGCAGTTTCATTTTGTGCTCACTCCCATGCTGTTCTTTGTGGGACTCACGTTCATGTGAGACCCGGCACTGCCCAGAAGCTGCTACAGCGTAGCCAAACAAACAGAAATAGCTGATGCTGTGTACTGAGGGCCCGAAATTTCTCTCACATTAGTGTAAATCTGAAGTAACCCTGCTGAAGTCAGTGGAGATACATTGGGAACCGACTTGGGCCGAGAGAACATTTGCATCCTAGAGCTCTGGGGAATTCTGGGAATGTCAAGCTTTTCATCAGCTTCAGGGATACATCGATAAGGGTACGGCTTCCTCAGACCTGGTGGCAAGGACAGCCATTCTCACAAAGGCCGGGCATATTCAGCATTCTCTCGTCCCTGGCATACACAGCTAATCATTGCTTTTGGGAGCATATGCATGGCTCTCACTGAAGTAAATGGGAGTCCGATACAGGTTTCTGAGCATTATTTTTTCCCCAAGAGTGTAAGTTAGCAAATTAAAAGAAGTGATCATCATGCCTGACTACCCCCAAATCATCACCTTCTGTTCTGTGTTTACAATGAGCTCAGACCCCTTTTCCTCCAGTACACTTTGTGCTCTTAAATGATAAATGACTCCTAAAAGATTCTTATTTCAATACAAAGGAGCAATAGGAAATATCATTGATTCAGATTGTGTTACTGAAGCAAAGGAGCACAAGCTACACAGAGTGAGGTGGGTTGAGGGCCATGCAGTTAAGGCAGTCTGACTCAGGAGATGTGGGTTATTCCTGTCTAAGGTACTGATAGCCCCATCACCTCACAACCTGTAATGTGTTTGTCCTCACACCACCCCCGTGCAATAGGGAAACAGTTACCACCCTCACAACCTGTAATGTGTTTGTCCTCGCACCACCCCCATGCAATAGGGAAACAGTTACCTGCTTTTTACAAGTAGGGAATTGAGGCACATGGAGGTGACGTGAATTGCCCACTGTCATCCTGGAAGGCAGTGGTAGAACAAGGAATTAAAGCCAAACCTCCAAAATCCTGAGCCAGTGCCCTACTCACTGAACCCTACTTCTTTTCCAGGGGTTCTGTTTCTTCCTCTGACACACACTTCCTCTGTGGCCTTGAGCGAGTCATTTTGTCTCTCCACGCCTTAATCCCATTCTTATAAGAAGTACAGTGAGAGACAAGCACTAAACAGTGAAACACGGGGAAGATTGCAGCTAATGATGTCAATACAAGCAAAATCAGGCATAGCAGATTAATGGTCACCTGCTGATGGCCTCTGAGGACAATGGAGCTGCACTGATTTAACAGAGAGCAGAGTTTGTCGCTTCTTGTTAACATGATGTGGTTTGATCCTGCACTCCCTGAATTCCAAGACACAGATGCACTAAGATAATGTTGCCTCTTTCTCCTCCCTTTCCCTCAGATGGTTCTTGTAAATGGTCTTGATTTTATTCTTTGTTCCATCGGGGTAACTATGAGCCAAAATATAGAGTTATATTAGTTTATTTCTTTTCACTTACCTTTTGTGTTTGTTTAGAAGTGATACAATAGACAAACTCAAGAGTTGTAGCCTTCAATGCAGACATTGTCTGTGAATTTGTATTCCCATTACTTAATATCCATATATTACATGTGTAACTTAGTATTTTATGTTCTTTACAACAGTGTTTACAGATTAATTGAAGTTTAACAACCGATTATGAATGTATGTTGCATAGTTGATAACTTCCATGTTTTTAATAATAAATTAGTATTTAATGTGATGTCTGTCTTAGCAAGTCTTAGTAAGTTAAATCCTCACTTGATAGGTTTAATTTAAATTGTGTCCAATTGTGGTTATTAAAAAAGCTGATGAGAAAGTAATCAATTCTGGTTCTCTTTCATTATTCAGAAGTGAGCCATATGGCTGTCAGGTGCAAGCTAATCTGTGTTGCCATTTCCCCTATGACATTTATAGCTTGCAAACATGCGCAGTTCAAACATGCTCAGGAGATGTTTTGAATCCTCAGTCTGAGTTCAGCTTTCATAGATGTTACTATAACATTCTAATAGGTGTCCGTGCGTTGTGTCAGTATTCGTTTTTCTTATTCTCTCATGTCTCAAGCTCTTGTGTCTCAGGTGCCCAACACTGCTCCTCATTCTCTTATGTTACTGTAGGAAACTACATAGATAGGATCAACAGGAGAATCCTCATAGATCTGGCCGAATGAACAAATGGACATTTAGGCATTTTAAAATATATTCTCACTTTACAGTCTGCCATGAGTAAGGGCAGCACATAGGTGTGCTTCTCCAGGAACTGACCAGGTTCTGTGATCACAGAATCACAGTTTCTAGACTTGCTCTCTTTTTTCTTTCCTAGGTGAGTAATCTGCTACTGATCTTCAACTTAGCTAATTAATTCCCCACCCAGACCAGTGGTTGATGTATTCAGGAAATAAAAGATGAGACTCAACCCATTCCCCATGCAGCAGGGCTTAACTCAAAATAAGCTACGCAAATTGAGCTAGGTCCATGGCGTATCTTATTTTGAAATAGGGAGCGTCTACACAGCACTTATTTTGAAAGAGAGCACTCTTCCTCTGAATTCCCATATTCCTCATACAATGAGGGTTATGGGAGTCGGAGTAAGAAGTACTCCAGCTTAATAGTATTTTGACATTATTTCAAAATAGTGTTGCAGTGTAGACGTACCTCTCGTGCTCTGTGACCTGTGATAATGCAGGTAATGGGCTGTCTTGTGCAGCATCATAAGGGCAGGTCACATCTCGCTCTTCATTTGAGCCAAGTTCTGATCCTCTTTTAGTCTGCCTGCATGGAACAATACCCATGTAAATCAAAGTAGAATATGGCTTTTTCTGCTAAATCCATCTTTGGTGTAACTTAGATAAACCCATAGGCTACGTCTACACTGGCATGAATTTCCGAAATACTATTCCGTTTTCAGTTTTTCTGGAAAAGGAGCATCTACATTGGCAGGCTGCTTTTCTGGAAAAGCCCTTTTTCCGGAAAAGCGTCTGTGGCCAATGTAGACGCGCTTTTCCGGAAAACAGCCCCGATCGCCATTTTCGCGATCGGGGCTTTTTTCCGGAAAAGACTACTGGGCTGTCTACACTGGCCCTTTTCCGGAACAGTGTTCCGGAATAAGGACTTATGCCCGAGCAGGAGCAGAATAGTTTTTCCAGAATAGCGGCTGATTTTGTACAGTAGAGCATCGTTGCTTTTCCGGAAATTCAAGGGCCAGTGTAGACAGCTCGCAGCTTATTCCGGAAAAGCGGCTGATTTTCCAGAATAAGGGGCCCCGTGTAGACACAGCCATACAGTAATACCAGGGCTGGATTTGGCCCTTTGCAATTAGTTGTGTTTGAGTCCTCCCTCCTTGTATTCAGGAGCAGAAACTGTCAGCTACTACAAGCCTCTGTTTCATGCATTCCAACACTGAATAGCATGCTTCCTGGAACATTAGACAGACTGATTTCAGTATTAGC